CAATCCTAGTTGAATTTGTTAGGGAACACTTATCGTGCAATTTTTGGAATACAACAGTCCAGAAGAGTATATCTTTTGATAGCAGACGCAGTGATCCAGGTAAAAAATTCTCAATTATGATTGAAAAAATTAACCAAAAAGCGTAATGTGTGTAATTAGATGTCCACAACTTTAAGAAAAATTGCAAAATAATCATCTTTTACGATTTGCTTCATGATCTTATTTCCATAAAATTTCTCTACAGAAAGTCGACCCCACGTGCTAAATAAAGGATTATTTGTTTACATCACATCACCTAAATTGATGTTAGTTGCCTTCATTCTCTCGACTGTCCTCATCTCAATACTCATTCTGGACTGTAATCTGTGTCATCGTAAGAAAGGAATAATGTATTCGATAAAGAGTTGTGGAAAGAATGAAGAGTGTAAAGACTGCGTAAGAAGACAGCAGACTATGATAGAAATGGTTTAAGTATCAGTAGCTTTTGTGTCACATTTCTGCTAAAAAGGAAGACATGAATGAATAAAGCATCTGAAACTAGGCCCATCGGAAGCTGTGGGGTTTGGGCAGGCTGCAACCCCCTTTCAGTAATTTTCAAAATTGTTGTGAAAATTTAACAAGCCCCAGCTTTTTCCCAAATCTTCTAGGAAAAAGTCACATACCGTAGAGTCTCGAAATAATAAGCTGCCCGAGCTATTTCAATTTTAAAAAGGTGGCTAATTTAATGGTGCGGTTAATTTTAGTGGAAGGATATTTCGAGACTCTAAGATATTTGAATTTTCAGACCCCCATTCTTACTTAGAGCTTCCGACGGCGGTGAAAACAAGAAATGGCTGAACATTGTGTTGTGCGACAAGATGAATGACGTACAACTCATGACACTCCACGCAACGCTATTAAAGTGTATGAATTGTTTTCAGCAGAAACTGTGATCGTAATATTCTAATAATTGGATAATATTCTAAAAGCTGTATAACATTTGCACTATTTCTGCCAAATCAACATTTATACTAGATATTTTTAATTAAATTAAATTTTCTTTATTGATATTAAACTGGAATTCATGATTATTATTGAATGTGATGAAAGTTGACGTGTTCTGAGAGCAGTAAAATGGACAAGTTTTGTTGTTACATATTCTAGCAACTTTTTGCTCATCTTGATCATCTTGTGGGCATCCACTGAAGAAGGTTTTTAAAAGCCTTTTTTCCTCGTAAACCAGAATATTAAGACCAAAGGAATGATCAAGTCAGTTGGCAGATCATCATTTCAAGAGCTTTCCTTTTCAGTGATAAGTTTATGGATTAGGCTGACTATTATAACAAAGAACGTCCAATTAAATTAGAAAAGTAAATTTAGTAAAGTCAAAAGAACCAGTTGAAACTTGATCGTGACTAAAACACCACACAGTACATACGAGTACATACGAGTACATACGAGTGACATACAGTACATACAAGTACATACGACTAACATACGAGTACGTACGAGTGATACGACTACTTTCTGTTCAACAAATGAGAAACAACACAATTTCTTCAATACATTGATATTTGCGTTTATTTTTCCTTGTATTTGTGTGGACTTTGGGCAACCATTTGATGGATTTAAATGCTGAAAAGGTATTTTACTTTCATACTACATTCATTTGTATGTTTTTAGTTGAATTTGTTATAGATATTTTGTCGATGCGATTTGCCAGTATTTGAGCGCTTTTGACACACTTTCACCTAGGAAATATATATTTATGAAAGCGATTATACATTCATTTTGACTCTGAAGATGACTTCATATAGCACGTTTTCAAGGCATTATTTATACGTTGTATATTTAATACGTTGTATATATTGAATAAGTTGTAAATAAATCAACACCGAACAACTGACAGAGCAAGACCCAAAAGATAGCATGAAAGAATTAACGACATTGACGTTAACTTTTGGGTCTCGTTTATAACGGTTAACCGTAACAAGTCCTTCACAGCTATGTACGTATTTTGGTATTTGTTCACTGTAAAAACAATATCCATTAGGAAACCAACAATGAAATCGTGTTAAAAAACTTACAGAGCATGACCATGCAACTCTTGAGATGGCTGGCTACCGCTTAACAGTTAATAGATTGTCACTTTGTCGTTTGCAAGAGCTCAAATGCTTTGCTTTGCTGTCTTTTGTCTTCAATTTAAGAATTATTGCTGTGATTAGCGTATTTGTCGTGGTGATTGACAATTGAGTAGTTCTTCAAAGAACAGTTGAACACCAAAATGAGGATATTACATAAAATTAAAATGACACGATGCATTTCGGCAAACTGCACCATAATTTTATAACTATCTTCATTTCAGTTTTCTACAGTTCTTAAGAACTTCATAAATTGTCGTTCACCATGACAAATATATTAATCACAACAAGTAAGTTCGTGACCACAATAAAAGTCTTTGTTTTGTTGCAAAAATGTAATTTCCTAAAACGTCATTGGAACTCATGCAATTGCCTCAATTCAAATCTGACTTTGCAATATTGTGCAGTCACTTTAAACTCTTCTCATACAGGCTATATACACAGTAATAGATTTCGATGTGATTTCCTACAACATCATTGGAATTGAATTGCGTTCAAAGCTGACTTTGCAATATTTTGAGAGCAATGAGCTGCCTGAATTACTTATTACTTTAAAAACAGACGAGTTGTTTTTTATATAGTAACTAATAATTTGCAACTACTTAAATTGTGTTTCACCGTGACAAATACGTTAATGAGAGCAATATTAAAGCTCGTGTGACCACAATAAAGTCTTTAATTCTGCAAAACGCCAGTAGATTGATAATTCAGTAATGTTTACGTTAAAATATAATGTGCCGACGTAGGATCGTTTAATTGAGCGATATTATTAACAATGTAAATATTTACGTGTACGCACTCTCCAAAAACTCGTTTCATGTACTACTTAAATAAATATTACAGCATCAACTAATTTCGTTGATAGCGACGACTTTGTCAAATGACATCAATTTTAATTCTTGTGTTTTGATGGATATATATTTCTTTAATGCAAGACTTTTGTCTTATTTAGATGTCCTTGAAACATCAAATATACATTAGGTAGTATACATTATGCGCATGGCATTTTGGCCGAAAATCAAGGCAACTAATTAGCATGCAAATTATAAACGTAATATAAGTCATATAACAATTGCCAGAGTAGTTAGGAAAAGTTTAAGTCAAGTGTTACATTTCCACAAAGTCGAAAACAGGAAAAAATTTATCAAACAATTTATTTAGAAATACAACTAATAGAAATGAGGGAAAAAGTAGAAGAACAATCCAATGAGTTAAAACTTATCAATTTCACATGTAATAAAGTGACTTTATGGTTAACACAATCGATGTTGTACATTCGATGAATTTTGTACAAAGAGATTAATTCAACACGTTTATGTCAACACATTGCGTAATTCGTGAAAATCTCTACGTGCTTGACATTAAATTTTAAGATATTTACCTACAACATCGATGAAATTAAATCGACATTAAAACTTCAAATCTAAACATTTATTCATCGAACGACCTCGACTTGACTGTTAGTACTTTGAGAAACATAGAGATGTTAGCAATAGAAAATTACTTCCTCAATCTAAAGCAAACTAACACATTCCTTAATAGTAATTTTTATTCTACATCATATATTTCTGTTTTCAGAAAAAACACATCGTACGAATCATATACAAAATCACAGCTCTGCTAAAACTAAGCAAACTGGCGTCTGTAGTCACGATAACCGGTTTGTTGGCTGCAAGCATTTAAGAAATAGCTCAACTTATCAAGACTGTTATTAATTTAAGATATTACAACTATAAAACAGTTTTAAATGTTGAGTTTTGATTAATCATCTTCGCTGTGTCTCAAAGTAATTTTACGCACTTGAAATAAAGTATATTAACCGTTTGTTACAATTACCACATAATTCTTATATGATAATTGCGGTTAACCAACAATTATCATTGTAACATATTTAAGTATAAAATGCTTCCCTAATGAAAGCATGTGCATTATCAGAATTCATCACATACAAAAGAACAGCTAAGCAGTGAATTAGAAAGACATAGCTATAAGAAATCAGCTGACATGAGAACAGACATTATGGGTGAGCAGAGCATTTATAAAATAGTAAAGATGCGTTAACCTAGTCTCAAGTAAAACTTGCTTTAACTACAGTACTACAGTCAAACGTCTATTTAACTGTTTATCCATGGTGATTGCAACAACAGACATATTCAGGGCAAGGGGAGCGGTAACTTGTTGACTAAAACTAACAAATAATTTTTTTAAAAAATAATCAAATTTACTGTAATCATTCAAAAAATTCGAGTCAAAACGTGTTTGATCTCTGTACATTTACTATATAAATTAAGAGTATGTGTCGGCTTGAAATCGTGTTCAATGTGCATTTGTCGCTGCAGTACATTATGTGAGCTCAGCACGAACAGCACATCAATTGGTTTGTTTTAGATATTGATGAAAGTCATAAATATTAAATCACTGTTAAACTATTATTTGCGAAGCAGATTTGTCAAACGACATAGTTCATTTAGATGATGGTGTTTTGGTCAATATTTATGCAAAGAATATTTGTCATCCTTAGGTATCTTTGACAACTTCAAACATACATGGGTATTATGGATGCTGTTCGTTTTTGAAATGAGCGAAAACGTGAATGGAAACAAGAGTTAGGTAAGACAACAAACGAAGGCTTTAACCATGATAAAATATATAGTGACATATGAAATGATATAGTCAACGTATTCTATACGTCCCCGTTATAGTTCAGTCCTCAAAGAAGAAGTTGTCTCAATTTATAATGAAAACTTCACTGACATTCCCAAGGACAGGGAGCCCTATTATGTTCAAGCTCAACGATGTGTCATGGAAAAAGATAAAATTCCTAAATGTGCATATTGTTGGCCCCAGCCAAATACGACGATAGAAGTCAAGATTGTCGTTCTTGATTTAAAAAAACGACAGAAAATTTTACAAATATATTGTATATAATCACACTTCTTGTTACATGAGTACAAACTTAACAGCCTTGAACTTTCATCAACACAAGAATATATCTTCAAACGAAAGTAAGGACTTCTGAATTTGATTAAAATCTAAACTTAAATCTAAACTTGAAACGCTTTTCCTTTTGTTTTCTTCAGTTAACGAAACAGAATTTACAACAAAGGTAAAATACAATCCACCAAATGTGAGAACATGTAATGACTATTGCAAGCATCCACAACCTCGTTTTCATCTACACAGTGAATATACAAAGGTTGTTTTAGATTATCTCTTTATCCCATTCACTCAATGCTTGCCTGGTTGCAAAGCAACAAAAAATACTAAGAACATCAAAACACAAACCCCATATGGTTCAACCAAGTTTGAAGCCATTGAAGAACATAAATCTTGCAATCTCTGGAACAAAAAAGTCCATAAAAGTCCACCTTCTAGTAGCAGACGCAGAGATCCAGGTAAAAAATTTTCAATTATGATGGAAAGAATTAGCCAAAAAGCGTAATGTGTGTAATTAGACGAGTACAACTTTTGAGAACAATTGCAAAATAATCATATTTTACGATTTGCTTCATGATCTTATTTCCATAAAATTTCTCTACAGAAAGTCGACCCCTCGTGCTAAATAACGGATTATTTGTCTACATCACATCACCCAGAATGATGTTAGTTGCCTTCATTCTCTCGACTGTCCTCATCTCAATACTCATTCTGGACTGTAATCTGTGTCATCGCAAGAAAGGAATGATGTATTCTATAAAAAGTTGTGGAAAGAATGAAGAGTGTGAAGACTGCGTAAGAAGACAGCAAACTATGATAGAAATGGTTTAAGTATCAGTAGTTTTTGTGTCACACTTCTGCTTGGAATAAGACATGAACAAATGAAGCAGAATGAAACGATTATTAGAAAACTTGTATAAAGAAAAAAACTTTTAGAATTTATGCTACGTTCGCACGAATATCTTGTCAATTACGATATTAATCGAATAAGTGTACTTTAAATTTCTGTTACAGTGATATAAAAGACAAATTATGAATATGAAGATTCAGAGCAATATAGCTTGTACACCTGGATGAATGGGCTTTGAAAGAAAATAAACTAAACACCTTTCGTGGAGACTAATGCCTGGAGTCTTAATGTTGAGTAAATGTTGAGTACATATTTTTGGTAAATGGAAACTTCTGCATTCTCGCACATTTTCCATCGTGACACGAAGATGCTGTGGATACAAGTATTAGCTTAAGGATAGAGAAATTAGAGCTTTTTTGTCCTTTTACTATATATTTACAAGTTTCCAAACATATTAGATGCAAGTGCATTGGTAAAATTATATTCATTAGAAATTTCAAACCAATAGTATTTTTGAACGTACTTTTCGAATATAAAATCGAATTGAGCTATATAACTTTATTTTGCCGAACGCTGAATCCGCTAATGATTAAAAAACAAATTTTGTCGGCAAAATATTTGGGAATTCAACATACATAGACGTTGTCCGCCGTGCAGACAAGGATGACCTTATTACGAAAACTCTATATACAAAGAGATATTGAAAACAATGACGCAAAAAAAAGTCATTTGCAGCAAGACGTGCGTGACTGACAATGTACGTACTGTATAAAAGTACCTATTTTACAAAGTGTCTATAGTTAAATTTGCTTATGAGTATAAAGTGAACGGACTGAAGAAAAACAAAGGTAGTCATTATATAATCTTAAAATATTTCGTCTAGTTCTCTCGTGGTTAATTAGAAGTCATTCGTGTCTCTAAATAACCATAACTCTACACACCATAAGGAAAGCATTGTAAGATTTAATAACATATCTTTTAATAAGTATAAAGTTTTCGGTGGCTGACTTTAATAGGGTTGTCTATAATAGAGTATTTTATTGGGCATTAATATGTTAAGAATTTCAACAGTTCGTTTCTGTGATGTTGCAGTGATTTGTGTGTATTTCAAAAGGAATCCCCACCTATGTTAGTCAACGGTTTCTTTTTGTTTAATCAATGTTTTGGTAAAATAAATAAGGGATTAATAACCAGGACAAGCAGACATTTTTAAGTAAAACAAAATAAAACGAATTCTGAAAACAGACATCTTGTTTCCTTGATATTCAAGATGATACAAGAGTTTTATTAGACAACAGATTGTGTAATATTTTGTCTTTATTCCAGAGACATCATCAGATTAATAGGGGATGGATAAATAGTCTTCTTCATTTTCAATGATTAATATTACGTATACATTTACACATTATGTCATCAGATAAGTAAATACGAAAGTATACATACACATAACAATACAAAATTTGCATCTACAGCAAAAGATTATCTCGGGAAGATATAACGACAAATTCATCTTGGTTTAGAGTAAAATTTGACGACTCTACTAAAATATTTGTCTGTTTAGCTCGCTTGCCTTTGTGAGTACAAAGTCGAGCAAAAAACGTTTGGCAAGATATAGCATATGACATTTAACGCGCATAGGTGTAGTTAGAGCATGAGTCAGTACAGACAATTTCGTCATCGCCTGTTTAAGCGTACTACGCATACAATTGTAATTGCTGTAATTTCATCAGCGATACATTCCAACTGATTTGACACATTTCAACTGATTTCATACATTCGGATTTCAACTGATTTCATACATTTCAACTGATTTCATACATTCGGATTTCAACTGATTTTATACATTACAACTGATTTCATACATTCGGATTCCAACTGATTTTATACATTACAACTGATTTCATACAATCGGATTCCAACTGATTTTATACATTACAACTGATTTCATACATTCAGTTCCAACTGATTTTATACATTACAACTGATTTCATACATTCGGATTCCAACTGATTTTATACATTACAACTGATTTCATACATTCGGATTCCAACTGATTTTATACATTACAAATGATTTACAACACTACATATTCATAAATAGTTGTAGTTGTTGTAATTCAGGTGATACTAACTAGTATCAAATTTGATCATTTATCGTACAAGAATTCGAAAGTAAAGATGAACTGCCATCGCCGATAATCGTTCACGTGTAAATTTCTTATGTTGTAAATGTTGTAAAAGTTAGACAAGTTCAACTTTTACAACAGCTGCCGATTTGTCTGCGATTAAATTACAACAATTACAACGCGCGTTTACTTATAGTTGTAATTGCTGCAAACGTTCATCACCGATCGAATTACAATAATTACAACTATATGTGAACTAGGCTTTATGGTAAAGTTGGTGCTGACAGACGAAAAACGTTTTTCTGCTGTTTCTTTTACATCATGCACTCTTTATCACACTATCTATTAAGAAAGTTCACAAATTTTTATTCTTTTAGCAGCTCAAGAGATAATTGTTTAATTCTATACATGTGTTAAGAGTATCTTTGTATAAGTCAAGCTTGAATTAATATCTACGATAACATAACTAGATTTCTATTTTCAAGTTCTTATGTATCGAATGCAGTGTGGAATGTCTGAGACTGTTACAGTAGCATTCCGATCGTTCACACGAAATCTTGGACGAAAATATTCAAAATTTAAAATATTTTACGAGTAAAGCTAAACTATCTTTTCAAAGCATTTCTATAATGCCAGAGACAAATTTATCTTCTAATATGGTTTGAATTACTGAACGAGAATACCATAGACGCTCACGAAACACAAAGCAAAAAATATTTGCTCGTATGTGTCCTTATAATAACCCAGCATGACAGCAGTCGTGGGCGAATATATTATTTTCATTGTCTGTAATGTACAGGTCAATGAATATCAAAGACATAATGCAATAAATAACTAAAATAAGCAATGATATCGGAACATTAAAAAGGGAAAACCCATCGAGTATTTCTGTGTAGATCTGATTAGTTACATGGAAAACTTTACTTTAGTAAAATACAAAACTTCTTCTGACAGCAAGCGGTCAAAAGGAGACTACTCCGTCTATTATTCGGCAAACGACAAAATGAATATCAAATGCTTATGAACAGACATGAAAACCAGGCCGTATGCACAAATTGTCGTTCACCAAGACAAATACGTTAATAAGAGCAATATTAAAGTTCGTGACCACAATAAAGTCTTTGTTTTATAAAAAAAATGTAATTTCCCTAAAACGTCATTGGAACTCATGCAATTGCCTCAATTCAAATCTGACTTTGCAATATTGTGAAGTCACTTTAAACTCTTTCCATACAGGCTATATACACAGTAATAGATTTCTGAAATATGATTTCCCTACAACATCATTGGAATTGAATTGCGTTCAAAGCTGACTTTGCAATATTTTGAGAGCAATGTGCTGCCTGAATTACTTATTACTTATTTCCAAAAACAGACGAGTTGTTTTCTTTATAGTAACTGACTAATTTGCAATTCTATATAGCTATCAAATAATTTTATGTTCTCGAACATGTCATGGAGTCCATTTTTTGAGCAAAGAATAAAATATTGTCAAAAAATAATACATATCCAATGGTTTTTAGCTTTAGTAATGACAACAATGATATAAATGTACCTTTAAAATTTTGTAACACGCAAATAGTTAAATGGATATATAGCCACCGTAGCACACCATAACCCATGACAAACAATAATTATCAAAATCTACAACAAGCGCTACAATGCGTGTTTGCTCTTCCTATTTTAAAAATATAGCCACGTAAAGAATTTGACACATCTTTGTTGCCCAGCTATATAAAAACAATCAAAAAGAAAAATTTACCGCGAAATTTGCCAGAAGCAAATCAACAATTACATCACAATCAAATAGCTATGTAACTTGGCATTTCGACAATTCATTCTACCTGTAAATTCTTCCCATTTCATATTACTCACAAAACATGATAAATTGATAATTCAGTAATGTTTACGTGAAAATATAATGTGCCGACGTAGGATCGTTTAATTGAGCGATATGATTAACAATGTAAATATTTACTTTTTAAGCAAGTTGAATGAAGGATAGGCCAGCCTGACCATAGTGCAGAATATGAGAAAATAATAAGAGAATAATTATGCTATGGGCCCACGCTTTCGATTCTTCTTTATGATTTGAATTTTACAATAACTTAATTAAGTGAAGCAAAAAATGGTTAAAGAGTAAGAAATCTTAACATTTTAAGTGCCAGTTTATAATTTAATAGCGACATAAAATACTTCAATTTAAAACTGGTTGATTACAAAGTTTTGATGAGCCCTCTTCAATGGTTCAGGGATGAATAACCATTGATTGTATAGTAAATAAACAATTAAATGAGAGTACCTACATAATGGTTACATATGAATGACATTCCGTTCAAATATATTCATAGTACTTATCAAAATATAGGATGTCTTTGACAAGTATTTTCCATCTCAATTGTGGTTAAAATCTTAAATTTTTGAGGTTTATAAAACCATGCTATTGAAATTAGAGAGTATAAAAAGACTTTTCAGAACTCATCATTTATAAAAGCGAAGCTAAGTTGTGAATTATAAGAGAGACAATACACCTGACATTGTACAAGATATCTTTGAGAAATCAGCTTGTAAAAACAGAAGAAATGGGTGAGCAATGCATGTTTATTAATGATGGAGAAAATGCATTAACTTAGTCTTCAAAAAACTTATTTAATCAATTTCTTATAAATAAGACAGTTAAAGATACTTTCATTTGTGATGACAAATTTGTTTGATGACATAATTCTACGATTAATGAATTTATTTTGTTAATAATATCATTGAGTGATTTACTGAAACACAATACACCATAACCCAAAATCCCTTGTATTTTTTCACGATAAAATAAATGCTTCATAAAATGAGCAGTTCACGTGTGCAACAATGAGCATTAGACGATGAATTTTCTGAAAAACAATCTTTGTCTTATTTAGGTGTCTTTATCAGATTCAAATATACATGTATAATATGTGTGGTGTTCATGAGCAAGAATGTGCATAGTAAACCAGAGAACAAGACTACTAACAATAAACCAGGTACAAAAACAAATAATGATTTGAATCACGATGAAAAAAAGTTAACGTTAATATTCATTTTCTATAGTTTCAGTCCTCAAGCAAGAAGTTGTCTCAATTTATAATGAAAACTTCACTGACATTCCCAAGGACAGGGAGCCATATTATGTTAAAAATCAACGATGTATCATCGAAAAAGATAAAATTCCTATATGTTCATATTGTTGGCCCCAACCTATGACATTGACAGAAGTCGAGATTGTCGTTCCTGATTTAAAAAACTACACAAAATTTTACAAATATATTGTATATAATCACACTTCTTGTTACCTGGAAAAGAACTTGACAGCCGTGAACTTTAATCTACACAAGAATCCATCTTCAAACGAAAGTAAGGACTTCTGTATTTAATTGAAATTTAAACTGAGATCTAAATTTGAAACGCCTTTCCTTTTGTGTTTACAGTTGACGACACAGAATTTACAACAAAAGTAAAATACAATCCACCAAACGTGAGAACATGTAATGACTATTGCAAGCATCCACAACCTCGTTTTCATCTGCACAGTGAATATACAAAGGTTGTTTTAAATTATCTCTTTATCCCATTCACTCAATGCTTGCCTGGTTGCAAAGGAACAGAGAAAATAAAAATTGTCAGAACAGAAATCCTAGATGGTTCAACCCGTTGAAAGTCATTAAAGAACATAAATCTTGCAATCTCCGGAACAAAAAAGTCCAGTAGAGTACACCTTATCGTAGCAGACGCAGTAATACAGGTAAAAAATGTTCAATTATGATTGAAAAATTTAACCAAAAAGGGTTATGTGTGTGTAATTAGATGTGCACAACTTTTGAGAAAAATTGCAAAATAATCATGTTTTACGATTTGCTTCATGAACTTATTTCCATAAAATTTCTCTACAGAAAGTCGACCCCTCGTGCTAAATAAAGGATCATTTGTTTACATCAAATCACCTAAAATGATGCTAGTTATCTTCATTCTTTTGACTGTCCTCATCTCAATACTCATTCTGGACTGTAATCTGTGTCATCGTAAGAAAGGAATAATGTATTCTATAAAAAGTTGTGGAAAGAGTGAAGAGTGTGAAGACTGCGTAAGAAGACAGCAGACTAGGATAGAAATGGTTTAGGTATCAGTAGTTTTTGTTTCACATTTCTGCTAAAAAGGAAGACATGAATGAATAAAGCATCTGAAACCAGGTCCCATCGGAAGCTGTGGGGATTGGGCAGGCTGCAACCCCCTTTCAGTAATTTCCAAAATTGTTGTGAAAATTTAACAAGCCCAGCTTTTCCCCGAATCTTCTAGAAGAAAGTCACATACCGTAGAGTCTCGAAAAAATGAGCTGCCCGGGCTATTTTAATTTTAAAAAGGTGGCTAATTTAATGATGCGGTTACTTTCAGTGTACAGTAAAAACAGATTGGTCAAAATGACCAATTTTTTTTGGTCACAACCAATTTTTAAATTGGTCAAACCTTTTTGACCATTAAAATATTGGTAATTTTAACCAAAAAAAAAATTGGTAGCGGCACGTGCCTGACAGCGTGTTGCAGTTGTATGTAGTCGCGTGGCGTGTTTCTAAACTTCTTGTGCTTTGTTGAAGTGCATTTTAAGTGTTTAAACTCTTCTATTGTGGGCAAAATGGAAATCAACAAACAATCATCTGTCGCTGACATTATTCTTTTTTTGAAAAAGAACAAATTGGATGAAATTGTCGAAGATTTTGAAGGTATTGTCTCATCCTGAAATGTAGGTCGCATGTGTGAGGGTTGTTGTCTCGTGCATAAATCTAGTGTAGAAAATAATTCAAAATTAGATTTATGGATGACTTGCCTTGTTTACGTTTTGCTAGCAGGCAAATTTGGTCGAGCGCTTTTAGAGAATAGCAACAGCAATAACGTAATTTCATTGACGTTTTGCTTCTTATATTTTTAAAGCTAATCAAGTCGACGGCGAGGATTTTTTCAATTTAGAATCACATGATATTTATCAGATGATTCCTCGAATAAAACTTCGAAAGAAATTTACGTGTATTTGGAATGACGTTACTCAAAAGGTAAATTGAAGCCTTACAGGTTTTCTACATAAAATGGTTCAAAATACTTGGTTTGTTATTGGTTTGTTGATTATATTTTTTACTGCCATGTGCTTTGATTGTGTCGTTATAAAATCACCAGAAGTAAAATTTCAGGCTTCATCTATTAACAGGGGTCATCAGCTTCAACAAGACACTCTTATGTCACTTCGAACAACATCAGAACCATCAACAAAGATGTGAATCCAGACATTCCGAGTAATTCAGCTGATCATCAAGAAAATCGTGATGAGGTATCAAGCAACTACCGTGAAATTGGCACCACATTGGGCACCACATTCAACACAACATTCATCACAACATTCATCACCACATTCAACTAAAATTTATCATTCAAAATGATAAATCAAAAAATCGTCTTTAAAACACGTTTTCCATAAAATACAACAGTAAAAAATAATTCTTAACTGTTTATTACTATTTTACAGTCCTTAAACATCACAAAAAATGTATAAAAGTCAAGAAATTGAAGAAAACACTAAGATTTATATTACAGTGTACTTTCCATTTCTCTTAAATAGCCTATAATTTAAAACTACACGGTAGAATTTTTTAAACTTGGCCAGAATATAGATAATTATATTGTCTAAAATATATCCAAAATCTGGAGGTGGCACAAAAATAAATGATAGAAAATCATCGACAAAGTCGGATGACACGAATGCGCGTAATATAATCTTATATATTTAAGTTAAAAATTCCGTTCTTTAACAAACAAAGCCTTATAAATTAAAAACTACACGGTAGAATTTTTTAAACTTGGCCAGAATATATATAATTATAATGTCTAAATATATCCAAAATCTGGAGGTGGCACAAAAAATAAATGATAGAAAATCATCGACAAAGTCGGATGACACGAATGCGCGTAATATAATCTTATATAAATAACTTCCTATATCCATGTAATTTTTCAAACAAAGGCCTATAAATAAAAACTACACGGTAGAATTTTTAAACTTGGCCATATTGTAGATATTTTTATTGTCTATAACATATCCAAAATCTGAGTGGCACAAAAATAAATGATAGAAAATCATCGACAAAGTCGGATGACACGAATGCGCGTAATATAATCTTATATATTTAAGTTAAGAATTCCGGTTCTTTAACAAACAAAGCCTTATAAATTAAAAACTACACGGTAGAATTTTTTTAAACTTGGCAATATTGTAGATATTCTTATTGTCTATAACATATCCAAAATCTGGAGGTGGCACAAAAAAATAAAAGGAATAATATTCCTTGGGAATAAACTCTGGTATAAACCGTGAAGTTGGCACCACATTCGACAAACAGCTCTATAGCTAAAAAACTACACGGTAGAATTTTTTTAAACTTGGCCAGAATATAGATATTCTTATTGTTTATAACATATCCAAAATCTGGAGGTGGCACAAAAAAATAAATGATAGAAAATCATCGATAAAGTCGGATGACACGAATGCGCGTAATATAATCTTATATATTTAAGTTAAGAGTTCCGGTTCTTTAACAAACAAAGCCTTATAAATAAAAACTACACGGTAGATTTTTTAAACTTGGCCATATTGTAGATATTCTTATTGTCTATAACATATCAAAATCTGGAGGTGGCACAAAAATAAATGATAGAAAATCATCGACAAAGTCGGATGACACGAATGCGCGTAATATAATCTTATATATTTAAGTTAAAATTCCGGTTCTTTAACAAACAAAGCCTTATAAATTAAAACTACACGGTAGAATTTTTAAACTTGGCAATATTGTAGATATTCTTATTGTCTATAACATATCCAAAATCTGGAGGTGGCACAAAAAAATAAAAGGAATAATATTCCTTGGGAATAAACTCTGGTATAAACCGTGAAGTTGGCACACATTCGACAAAAACAGCTCTATAGCTAAAAACTACACGGTAGAATTTTTTAAACTTGGCCGTAATGTAGATATTCTTATTGTCTATAACATATCCAAAATCTGGAGGTGGCACAAAAAATAAATGATAGAAAATCATCGACAAAGTCGGATGACACGAATGCGCGTAATATAATCTTATATTTAAGTTAAGAATTCAGTTCTTTAACAAACAAAGCCTATAAATAAAAACTACACGGTAGAATTTTTTAAACTTGGCCATATTGTAGATATTCTTATTGTCTATAACATATCAAAATCTGGAGGTGGCACAAAAATTAATGATAGAAAATCATCGACAAAGTCGGATGACACGAATGCGCGTAATATAATCTTATATATTTAAGTTAAAATTCCGGTTCTTTTAACAAACAAAGCCTTCTAAATAAAACTACACGGTAGAATTTTTTAAACTTGGCCATATTGTAGATATTCTTATTGTCTATATATCCAAAATCTGGAGGTGGCACAAAAATAAAAGGAATAATATTCCTTGGGAATGTACTCTGGTATAAACCGTGAAGTTGGCACCACATTCGACAAACAGCTCTATAGCTAAAAAACTACACGGTAGAATTTTTTTAAACTTGGCTGTAATAGATATTCTTATTGTCTATAACATATCCAAAATCTGGAGGTGGCACAAAAAAATAAATGATAGAAAATCATCGACAAAGTCGGATGACACGAATGCGCGTAATATAATCTTATATAATTAACTTCCTATATCCATGTAATTTTTCAAACAAAGGCCTATAAATAAAAACTACACGGTAGAATTTTTTTAAACTTGGCCATATTGTAGATATTCTTATTGTCTATAACATATCCAAAATCTAGAGGTGGCACAAAAAAATTAATGATAGAAAATCATCGACAAAGTCGGATGACACGAATGCGCGTAATATAATCTTATATATTTAAGTTAAGAATTCCGGTTCTTTAACAAACAAAGCCTTATAAATTAAAAACTACACGGTAGAATTTTTTTAAACTTGGCCAGAATATAGATAATTATACTGTCTAAAATATATCCAAAATCTGGAGGTGGCACAAAAAAATAAATGATAGAAAATCATCGACAAAGTCGGATGACACGAATGCGCGTAATATAATCTTATATAAATAACTTCCTATATCCATGTAATTTTTCAAACAAAGGCCTATAAATAAAAAACTACACGGTAGAATTTTTTTAAACTTGGCCATATTGTAGATATTTTTATTGTCTATAACATATCCAAAATCTAGAGGTGGCACAAAAAAATAAATGATAGAAAATCATCGACAAAGTCGGATGACACGAATGCGCGTAATATAATCTTATATATTTAAGTTAAGAATTCCGGTTCTTTAACAAACAAAGCCTTATAAATTAAAAACTACACGGTAGAATTTTTTTAAACTTGGCAATACTGTAGATATTCTTATTGTCTATAACATATCCAAAATCTGGAGGTGGCACAAAAAAATAAAAGGAATAATATTCCTTGGGAATAAACTCTGGTATAAACCGTGAAGTTGGCACCACATTCGACAAACAGCTCTATAGCTAAAAAACTACACGGTAGAATTTTTTTAAACTTGGCTGTAATGTAGATATTCTTATTGTCTATAACATATCCAAAATCTGGAGGTGGCACAAAAAAATAAATGATAGAAAATCATCGACAAAGTCGGATGACACGAATGCGCGTAATATAATCTTATATATTTAAGTTAAGAATTCCGGTTCTTTAACAAACAAAGCCTTCTAAATAAAAAACTGCACGGTAGAATTTTTTTAAACTTGGCCATATTGTAGATATTCTTATTGTCTATAATATATCCAAAATCTAGAGGTGGCACAAAAAAACAAATGATAGAAAATCATCGACAAAGTCGGATGACACGAATGCGCGTAATATAATCTTATATATTTAAGTTAAGAATTCCGGTTCTTTAACAAACAAAGCCTTCTAAATAAAAAACTGCACGGTAGAATTTTTTTAAACTTGGCCATATTGTAGATATTCTTATTGTCTATAATATATCCAAAATCTAGAGGTGGCACAAAAAAATAAATGATAGAAAATCATCGACAAAAAATCGGATGACACGAATGCGCGTAATATAATCTTATATAATTAACTTCCTATATCCATGTAATTATTCAAACAAAGGCCTATAAATAAAAAACTACACGGTAGAATTTTTTTAAACTTGGCCATATTGTAGATATTCTTATTGTCTATAACATATCCAAAATCTGGAGGTGGCACAAAAAAATAAATGATAGAAAATCATCGACAAAGTCGGATGACACGAATGCGCGTAATATAATCTTATATATTTAAGTTAAGAATTCCGGTTCTTTAACAAACAAAGCCTTATAAATAAAAAACTACACGGTAGAATTTTTTTAAACTTGGCCATATTGTAGATATTCTTATTGTCTATAACATATCCAAAATCTGGAGGTGGCACAAAAAAATAAAAGGAATAATATTCCTTGAGAATGTACTCTGGTATAAACCGTGAAGTTGGCACCACATTCGACAAACAGCTCTATAGCTAAAAAACTACACGGTAGAATTTTTTTAAACTTGGCCGTAATGTAGATATTCTTATTGTCTATAACATATCCAAAATCTGGAGGTGGCACAAAAAAATAAATGATAGAAAATCATCGACAAAGTCGGATGACACGAATGCGCGTAATATAATCTTATATAATTAACTTCCTATATCCATGTAATTATTCAAACAAAGGCCTATAAATAAAAAACTACACGGTAGAAATTTTTTAAACTTGGCCAGAATATAGATAATTATATTTTCTAAAATATATCCAAAATCTGGAGGTGGCACAAAAAAATAAGTTGTAGAAAATCATCGACAAAGTCGGATGACACGAATGCATGTAATATGATCTTATATAATTACGTTTAGAATTCCGGTTCTTAAACAAACAAAGCCTTATAAACAAAAAACTACACGGTAGAATTTTTTTAAACTTGGCCAGAATATAGATAATTATACTGTCTAAAATATATCCAAAACCTGGAGGTGGCACAAAAAAATAAATGATACAAAATCATCGACAAAGTCGGATGACACGAATGCGCGTAATATAATCTTATATAATTAACTTCCTATATCCATGTAATTTTTCAAACAAAGGCCTATAAATAAAAAACTACACGGTAGAATTTTTTTAAACTTGGCCAGAATATAGATAATTATATTGTCTAAAATATATCCAAAATCTGGAGGTGGCACAATAAATAAAAATAAATGCGAAATAAATAATAAATTCAACACAGCTTTCCTTTCAGCGTTGTGAAAATGAACATGTTATTGCCATTCACTTAAAATCAATGAAAAGCACAAAAAAATTGTAATTATAAATTCTAAATGAATGGAAAGAACGTTTTACTTGCACTTCGCCTAGAAACTGGAATAGAGCAATCGCGTTTCTGCTGATTACATATGTATTGTGTGTATTCTGACCATTGAAATGCAAGCATCGATTGGAGAAGCAAAGATAAGCAAAGTACGTATTCGTAACGAATGTTTAAATCACGCTCAGTTATTTAACAAACGTCTTATGGTAAAATCTTTTCAGATTTCGATGTTCGTTGATGTCATGATCAGCACAAAATAGCTGCTTTCACTTGTGCCTCAAACTACTGGTATGTACCTGTAAAAGCACATTAATTAAGCCAAGTAAGTAATTGCTAAAATCTGCCGAAAACCAAATTCAATTCTCTAACAATTATTGCAATAACGTATTTTCATTTACTTTCAGTATACATAAATAACATTTTCAGAAAAAAATCTCTCCATGGATATTCCAATTGTAACCGTCGTTAACACAATTAAATTCTTCAAAATCAACAAAAACATACTGTGGAAGACAAAAATGAGGACTTGTGCTGATAAACTGTAAGTGTTGATTTGTAATTGTAAAAAATATATACTAAAGCATTATAAACCTGTGAGAATACATTGAGAATACTAAATCATCTATGAATAACTGCATTTCTATTTAGCTACAAGTGATGTGTTAAGAATGCGGAAACGGGCAAGAGCGTAGTAACTGAAATCTGCCAAAAATCACGTTCAATTCTCTATTAATCGTCGAAGTAAAGTAACTTCATATAAGTTCAGAATGCAAGAGGAACATTTTCAGAAAAATTGAAATTATTAATCGATATTCTGATCCTGCCAACAACGTAAAAAAATGCGATAGAAAGAAAAATACTGTGGAAAATAATAACCGATTTCTAATTATAAGACAATAAAGTAAAGTAATTTTCTAGTAAGTCTGTAAAAATACAATATAAATAATGCACATGTCTAATTATACCGTGACGTAAAGGTCCTGGATTAAAGTAATATTTGGTCGTAACTACTCCAAAAACAAGTCATTTACTTCACTAGATTCACTAAATTTTGAAAAAATCAAAGCGATGAGCAACTAGAACAAATTTTCAAAAAAAATAACCAGCACTGTTACGTCACTGCATAATTAATTTGGTACTAACAACCAGAGTTTACTACTTTTAAACAATTTAGTAAAAAGTGAATTGTATTAATAATTTTTATTCACTCTCTTGATTTTGGATATATTTAAAACAATCTACCGTGTAGTTTTTATTTATAAGGCTTTGTTTGTTTAGAACCGATTCTAAACGTATTATATAAGATCATATTACATGCATTCGTGTCATCCGACTTTGTCGATGATTCTACAACTTTATTTTTTGTGCCATCCAGATTTTGGATATGTTATAGACAATAAGAATATCTATTACGCAAGTTTAAAAATTCTACCGTGTAGTTTTAGCTATAGAGCTGTTTGTCGAATGTGGTGCCAACTTCACGGTTTTATACCAGAGTTTATTCCCAAGAATATTATTCCTTTTATTTTGTGCCACCTCCAGATTTTGGATATGTTATAGACAATAAGAATATCTACAATATTGCAAGTTTAAAAATTCTACCGTGTAGTTTTTAATTTATAAGGCTTTGTTTGTTAAGGAATTCTTAACTTAAATATATAAGATTATATTACGCGCATTCGTGTCATCCGACTTTGTCGATGATTTTCTATCATTTATTTTTTCGTGCCACCTCCAGATTTTGAATATGTTATAGACAATAAGAATATCTACAATATGGTTAAGTTTGAAAAAATTCTACCGTGTAGTTTTTTATTTATAGGCCTTTGTTTGAAAAAGAACCGGATATAGGAAGTTAATTATATAAGATTATATTACGCGCATTCGTGTCATCCGACTTTGTCGATGATTTTCTATCATTTATTTTGTCGCCTCCAGATTCAGTATATTATAGACAATAAGAATATCTACAATATGGCCAAGTTTGAAAAATTCTACCTGTAGTTTTTATTTATAGGCTTGTTTGAAAAATTACATGGATATAGGAAGTTAATTATATAAGATTATATTACGCGCATTCGTGTCATCCGACTTTGTCGATGATTTTCTATCATTTATTTTTGTGCCACCTCCAGATTTTGGATATGTTATAGACAATAAGAATATCTACATTACGGCCAAGTTTAAAAAATTCTACCGTGTAGTTTTTGTTTATAAGGCTTTGTTTGTTAAGAACCGGATTCTAAACGTAATTATATAAGATTATATTACGCGCATTCGTGTCATCCGACTTTGTCAATGATTTTCTACAACTTATTTTTTTGTGCCACCTCCAGATTTTGGATATATTTTAGAAAATATAATTATCTATATTCTGGCCAAGTTTAAAAATTCTACCGTGTAGTTTTTATTTATAGGCCTTTGTTTGAATAATTACATGGATATAGGAAGTTAATTATATAAGATTATATTACGCGCATTCGTGTCATCCGACTTTGTCGATGATTTTCTATCATTTATTTTTGTGCCACCTCCAGATTTTGGATATGTTATAGACAATAAGAATATCTATATTACGGCCAAGTTTAAAAATTCTACCGTGTAGTTTTTAGCTATAGAGCTGTTTGTCGAATGTGGTGCCAACTTCACGGTTTATACCAGAGTACATTCTCAAGGAATATTATTCCTTTTATTTTTGTGCCACCTCCAGATTTTGGATGTTATAGACAATAAGAATATCTACAATATGGCCAAGTTTAAAAATTTCTACCGTGTAGTTTTTATTTATAAGGCTTTGTTTGTTAAAGAACCGGAATTCTTAACTTAAATATATAAGATTATATTACGCGCATTCGTGTCATCCGACTTTGTCGATGATTTTCTATCATTTATTTTTGTGCCACCTCCAGATTTTGGATATATTTTAGACAATATAATTATCTATATTCTGGCCAAGTTTAAAAATTCTACCGTGTAGTTTTTATTTATAGGCCTTTGTTTGAAAAATTACATGGATATAGGAAGTTAATTATATAAGATTATATTACGCGCATTCGTGTCATCCGACTTTGTCGATGATTTTTATCATTTATTTTTTGTGCCACCTCCAGATTTTGGATATATTATAGACAATATAATTATCTATATTCTGGCCAAGTTTAAAAAATTCTACCGTGCAGTTTTATTTATAGGCCTTTGTTTGAAAAATTACATGGATATAGGAAGTTAATTATATAAGATTATATTACGCGCATTCGTGTCATCCGACTTTGTCGATGATTTTCTATCATTTATTTTTTGTGCCACCTCCAGATTTTGGATATATTTTAGACAATATAATTATCTAAATTCTGGCCAAGTTTAAAAATTCTACCGTGTAGTTTTTATTTATAGGCCTTTGTTTGAAAAATTACATGGATATAGGAAGTTAATTATATAAGATTATATTACGCGCATTCGTGTCATCCGACTTTGTCGATGATTTTGTATCATTTATTTTTTTGTGCCACCTCCAGATTTTGAATATGTTATAGACAATAAGAATATCTACAATATGGTTAAGTTTGAAAAAATTCTACCGTGTAGTTTTTTATTTATAGGCCTTTGTTTGAAAAATTACATGGATATAGGAAGTTAATTATATAAGATTATATTACGCGCATTCGTGTCATCCGACTTTGTCGATGATTTTCTATCATTTATTTTTTTGTGCCACCTCCAGATTTTGGATATGTTATAGACAATAAGAATATCTACATTATGGCCAAGTTTAAAAAAGTTCTACCGTGTAGTTTTTATTTATAAGGCTTTGTTTGTTTAAGAACCGGAATTCTAAACGTAATTATATAAGATTATATTACGCGCATTCGTGTCATCCGACTTTGTCGATGATTTTCTACAACTTATTTTTTGTGCCACCTCCAGATTTTGGATATATTTTAGACAATATAATTATCTATATTCTGGCCAAGTTTAAAAAAATTCTACCGTGTAGTTTTTTATTTATAGGCCTTTGTTTGAATAATTACATGGATATAGGAAGTTAATTATATAAGATTATATTACGCGCATTCGTGTCATCCGACTTTGTCGATGATTTTCTATCATTTATTTTTTGTGCCACCTCCAGATTTTGGATATGTTATAGACAATAAGAATATCTATATTACGGCCAAGTTTAAAAAAATTCTACCGTGTAGTTTTTTAGCTATAGAGCTGTTTGTCGAATGTGGTGCCAACTTCACGGTTTATACCAGAGTACATTCTCAAGGAATATTATTCCTTTTATTTTTTGTTGCCACCTCCAGATTTTGGATATATTATAGACAATAAGAATATCTACAATATGGCCAAGTTTAAAAATTTCTACCGTGTAGTTTTTATTTATAAGGCTTTGTTTGTTAAAGAACCGGAATTCTTAACTTAAATATATAAGATTATATTACGCGCATTCGTGTCATCCGACTTTGTCGATGATTTTCTATCATTTATTTTTTTGTGCCACCTCCAGATTTTGAATATATTATAGACAATAAGAATATCTACAATATGGCCAAGTTTAAAAAATTTCTACCGTGTAGTTTTTTATTTATAGGCCTTTCTTTGAAAAATTACATGGATATAGGAAGTTAATTATATAAGATTATATTACGCGCATTCGTGTCATCCGACTTTGTCGATGATTTTCTATCATTTATTTTTTGTGCCACCTCCAGATTTTGGATATATTTTAGACAATATAATTATCTATATTCTGGCCAAGTTTAAAAAATTCTACCGTGTAGTTTTTTATTTATAGGCCTTTGTTTGAAAAATTACATGGATATAGGAAGTTAATTATATAAGATTATATTACGCGCATTCGTGTCATCCGACTTTGTCGATGATTTTCTACCATTTATTTTTTTGTGCCACCTCCAGATTTTGGATATGTTATAGACAATATAATTATCTATATTCTGGCCACGTTTAAAAAAATTCCACCGTGTAGTTTTTTATTTATAGGCCTTTGTTTGAAAAATTACATGGATATAGGAAGTTAATTATATAAGATTATATTACGCGCATTCGTGTCATCCGACTTTGTCGATGATTTTCTATCATTTATTTTTGTGCCACCTCCAGATTTTGGATATATTTTAGACAATATAATTATCTATATTCTGGCCAAGTTTAAAAAATTCCACCGTGTAGTTTTTATTTATAGGCCTTTGTTTGAAAAATTACATGGATATAGGAAGTTAATTATATAAGATTATATTACGCGCATTCGTGTCATCCGACTTTGTCGATGATTTTCTATCATTTATTTTTTTGTGCCACCTCTAGATTTTGGATATGTTATAGACAATAAGAATATCTAATATGGCCAAGTTTAAAAATTCTACCGTGTAGTTTTTATTTATAGGCCTTTGTTTGAAAAATTACATGGATATAGGAAGTTAATTATATAAGATTATATTACGCGCATTCGTGTCATCCGACTTTGTCGATGATTTTCTATCATTTATTTTTGTGCCACCTCCAGATTTTGGATATATTTTAGACAATATAATTATCTATATTCTGGCCAAGTTTAAAAAAATTCTACCGTGCAGTTTTTAAATTATAGGCTATTTAAGAGAAATGGAAAGTACACTGTAATATAAATCTTAGTGTTTTCTTCAATTTCTTGACTTCTATACATTTTTTGTGATGTTTAAGGACTGTAAAATAGTTATAAACAGTTAAGAATTATTTTTTACTGTTGTATTTGATGGAAAACGTGTTTTAAAGACGATTTTTTGATTTATCATTTTGAATGATAAATTTTAGTTGAATGTGGTGATGAATGTTGTGATGAATGTCGTGTTGAATGTGGTGCCCAATGTGGTGCCAATTTCACGGTAGTTATCAAGCAACCCAGCTTGACTTGTTTGTGTTGTAATTGTGTGGATCCAGATGAACCATTGCTCCTATTCTGCCTGAAATAGCTTAAAAGCATTTAGTCTGCTTACTATATATTGTTTTGTTCCTCTATGCTTTAGTTATGTTGTATTATGTTTGATGAAGAGTCACTATAAGTAGAATTTATGATTCAATCCTCTATTAACAGGGCTTGTCAGAATCAGCTTCAACAGTGCACTCGCACATCTATTCAAGCCACATAAGAAGCATCAACTTGGATGTAAATTAAGACATTGTTCTTAGTACTTCAGCTGATCATCAAAATGATGAGGTATGAAGGCTGAAGCCATTATTTGTATACAATATTTGTTCTAATGCTAGTTCATAAATATACAATGTTTCATGTTTGGCTCAGTTACATAGGAAATTTTCCTGAACTCAATTATTTTGTTATATAAAATCCATAAATTAACATTCGCTTTCCATGAATGGATGTAATTCCACTTTTCATTTTTGTTACTCATTGTGGAATTACATAAATTCCACAATAAATACAGTGTTGGAGTTTTGAAAATTTTTCTGCATTATTTCTTTACTTCTTTATGTTGTATGTTAAGGTTGAATTTTACTATTTTTTAAGAACATTGGACCAGAGAGACATCTCAAGGACAATGTTCTAAGGAGTCCTTTGACAGCTAATGTGAACAATTCCAATTGGTTGTCCAAGTTTTGTTTGCCAACAAGAGTAAGTAGAATTAAAACTTAGTTTTTTACACACTGCGAGCTTAATATATGTTAATAAAGATTGCCATATCATTATAACCATGCTGTTTGTGTGTAGTGGGAACCAGCAGTTGAGGAGGCATTAAAAAGGCAGGAACTAAATCCAAATGAAAAAAATGCATTAAACAGGCAATTAACTTCTTCAATTTTGGCACATACTGAATCGCCAATTGTTCATGAAAGAAAACACATTGCTCTTATGTTAATTTAAAAGTATCCATTCTTAAAGGGATCATTTGGTTCTGGTCATGTAGGTTAAAAAAATCAATTATATTGCTGCATAATTCAGTTTCATAAAGTACTGTCATTGTTTTGTTTTTCCAGCAACTATGGGCAAACAAAATAGCAGACCGAGTCCTTAATCTGCGAAGAAGAGCATCCCGAGCTCAAAAGCGAAAGCGCCTTGAAGAAGGGGTCCTAATTCCAAAGGAAAAACCTGGTAGGAAAAGTAAGAAATCAGCTTGCAATTCTCTCCCATCTCTTCCAGAAGGTGAAACAGAAGCAGCTATTGTAATTCAACAAAAGCAGTTGGTTGAAATGTTTAATATTGGCTCGCAAGACTTGAGCAAGATCAATGTGTTGATGAACAATACCTTTGCTCATCGGCATAGAGACATTTTGGTGAACAATACAAGGGTTTGGAAGCTTCTGCATGACTACCCTTTTTTCAAACACACTAAGGGAGTTGAAGTAAGGTTTCATTTCTTTTTCTGATTTTTGAGTTTGTTTGAAGTATCAGGCATGTTAGCCTGATGAGAGGCTAATATTCATATGTGCATGGTATACTTTACTAGATTCTAGTACTACAAACAATTTTAATTCAACAGATTATATGTAGCATATGAATTTATGAATATGAGTTTTTTGCCAATTATTAATCTGCTGCTGTCCATGACTATGTATGCTGTAGCAAAACTGTCAGTTGTATCACAATTACTTAGAGAAAGATAATTAGTTTTTTGGTTTAATTTTTTCCAGCTGAAAGCAGAGTTAGGACGTATTTTGGAGAAGAGTGATGTTGTGCAAGACATGAAGGAATGATGGAATTTGCACAAATATAAAATGCTGTCTGCTATTAAAAAGACAAAGCAAAAGAATGTCAGCAGTATCCTTGAAGAGCTGGAGGATTGTCCAGTTGAAGATGAGAAAGGTTGGTGTAAAAATCAATAAGTTAAAATCCCTATTTATACTGAAGTGTTAATGCTTTAGAGAGTGATAATGGTAATATATTCATTCTATGCTATGTTGATTATTTTAGAGGTCAAGAACCGGTGTATAATGGCATGTTTGCCTTATGTGTTAGATGACCAACGCACCCATCGAGATATGAACAAAAAGCTATTTTGGGACATTGTTGATGTAAGAGTTGATATTGTCACAAATAATATTTTCTGCATAAATGTGTGAAAAAATTGATGAATAATTTTGTCTCTGTTGAAGGGTAAAAGCTTGGGGGAAGTTCAAGAGATCATTAACAATAATTCGTCTCCTAGACTCCTATCAACAGGAACATTAAGAAACATTCATTCAATAATGTTGGCGGCTGAGGGGATGATTGTGGCAAAGCTGAAAACAGAAAATATTGTCAACGCAGTTATTATTTTACTTAGTTCTTTTTATACTTTTAATGCTGAGTATCCTAAAGGCGTTAATGGACATGGCAAAAATGTATTTATTCTTTTAGAACATTTGCTTTTAAATTCGAATGGCAATTGTAATGCTCAATTGCCAACTTTTGTTGATCATTTTATTTCTTCTATGAAGTAGAAAACTTTTGTAGTGTTAATTAATGGCATGTAGTAGAGGTTTTAAGTATTCTGTGTTTGCAAAAAATGTGCTATTTCTAATTGTGTGATTGATTTTCTTTAGCTTAGTTAAAAAGATCCTCTATATTGGTCAAATGGCCTGAAAAAAATGCTTGTTTAATGGTAAAAACAACCAAATCAAATTGGTCAAATAAATTGGTAAATTTAACCATTTTTGTTTTTGGTATTTTTGACCAATTTAGGAATTGGTTGTTTTGACCAATTTAGGAATTGGTTGTTTTGACCTATAAAAATTGTTCTTCTCAGGTGCATTCAAATGACCAATTTTTTTTGGTCATTTTGACCAATCTATTTTTACTGTGTGGAAGGTATTTCGAGACTCTAAGATATTTGAATTTTCAGCCATCCCCCCCCCCCATTCTTAGTTAGAGCTTCCGACGGCGGTGAAAACAAGAAATGGCTGAACATTGTGCTGTGCGACAAGATGAATGACGAACAAATCATGACAATCCACGCAACGCTATTAAAGTGTATGAATTGTTTTCAGCAGAAACTGTGATCCTAATATTCTAATAATTGGATAATATTCTAAAAGCTGTATAACATTTGCACTAATTTCTGCCAAGTCAACATTATACTAGATATTTTTAATTACATTAAATTTTCTTTTAGTGATATTAAACTGGAATTCATGATTATAGTAAATGTGATGAAAGTTGACGTGTTTTGAGAGGCTTTTAAAAACCTTCTTCAGTGGATGCCCATAAAATGAGCAACTTTTTGCTCATTTTATGGGCATCCACTGAAGAAGGTTTTTAAAAGCCTTTTTTCCTCGTAAACCAGAATATTAAGAGCAAAAGAAATGATCAAAAATGACTTTGCAATATTTTGAGAGCAATGAGCTGCCTGAATTACTTTTACTTATTTCCAAAAACAGACGAGTTATTTTTTCTTATAGTAACTAATTAATTTGCAATTCTATATAGCTATCAAATAATTTTATGTTCTCGAACAAATCATGGAGTTCATTTTTTGAATAAAGAATGCAATATTGTCAAAAAAATAATACATATCCAATCGTTTTTAGCTGTAGTAATGACAACAATGATATAAATGTACCTTTAAAATTTTGTAACACGCAAATAGTTAAATGGATATATAGCCACCGTAGCACACCATAACCCATGACAAACAAAAATCATCAAAATCTACAACAAGCGCTGTAGCGCTTGTTCTAGATTTTGATAATTTAGCGCTAATCTAGCGATTTTGATAATTTAGAACAAGCGCTACAGCGCTTTAGAACAAGCGCTAGAATGCGTGTTTGCTCCGCCTATTTTAAAAATATAGCCACGTAAAGAATTTTACACATCTTTGTTGCCCAGCTATAAAAAAACAAACGAAAAGAAAAATTTACCGCGGAATTTGCCAGCAGCAAATCAACAATTACATCTCAATTAAATAGCTATGTAACTTGGCATTTCGACAATTCATTCTACCTGTAAATTCTTCCCATTTCATATTACTCACAAAACATGATAAATTGATAATTCAGTAATGTTTACGTCAAAATATAATGTGCCGACGTAGGATCGTTTAATTGATAGATATGATTAACAATGAAAATATTTACTTTTTAAGCAAGTTGGGAGAAGGATAGGCCAGCATGAACATAGTGCAGGATATGAGAGAATAATTTTGCTATGGGCTCACGCTTTCAGATTCTTCTTTATGATTTGAATTTTACAGTAACTTAATTAAGTGAAGCAAAAAATGGTTAAAGAGTAATAAATCTTAAGATTTTAAGTGCCAGCTTATAATTGTTGTAAATTGTCATGTTATGTTATGTAGAGTGTGAATATACCGTATGATATAAACTGTAAAATGTTAAGTCATATATTACTAGACAAATACGTATATAGTTACTAAACTGTGGTTTCAGTGGAAATCCTGTACGTAAATTCAAAATACTTAGGAACACTTTTTCTACCCAATGTGGCATTGCGGTAGGATGTAGGTAATGACAGTACTCTATAAACGGAATGGCGTAGTGCAAGTCATGCAAACGCCCAAAATTATATCCTAATAATTATAATATAAATAAGAGCTTGCAAGCGTTGGTTCGGGAGTTCGGAAAAACAGACGTTGTTAGACGTACAAAAGTGATAAGTTGGAAATCGTATCGCAGGAGGCGATAGCGTTTGAATAAGTTTCAAGTTTAAAGATTGACGGTTGGCCGTAATCTCAACGTTTCAATAACATATTTGTGTCGCAAAGAACCAACGTTTGGAACTCCGTATCATAAATCGTGCACAAACCACTGTAAATATCCTATCAAGTGTTAAATACAATTGTCAAAATACAGTCCCATCGTTCGAGTGAAGTTTCGAGAGCAGTGAACCAGCACTTCGCGCAGATTGTGCGAAACGTGGTCCTTCGAGCCGGATAGAGTAGCAGAATTCGAGAACACATAGATAGGATAAAAAAGGGTTGTTCACGATGTCAGAGCTGACAAGAAAGCGACAGTCGAGGAGTGGGCACAAATCGTACGCCACAAAAGTTGTAAACAAGGTTCGAGGTATGGTAAACGATAATGCGCCACTAAGGAAAGTCGAATTGGAACAAATGCGGCTTGTACTCGTACAGAAATTGGATACAATTTCGAAGTTAGACGATGAGATTCAGAGCTTGTTGGAAAAGGATGAAGATATTGAGGCAGATATCGACAGCTCATCGGAATACGGCTGCGAAGTTCTGGGTGCGTTGGCCGAAATTAACGAAGCGCTGAGCACAATAGAGACGAACAAACGAAACGAGGAACTCGCCAACACATCGACAAGTACAGTATCCAGTGGGGCACGCTGTAGAGTGAAGCTGCCTAAACTAGAGGTGAAAAAGTTCTCAGGCAAGATACAAGATTGGCGTGAATTCTGGGACTCTTTCGAAAGTTCCATTCACAACAATGACGGACTGTCTGAGGTAGACAAATTCACCTATCTGAGGGGACTGGTGGAGGAGCCGGCCAAGTCAGCAATTTCGGGATTTGCTCTGACTTCGATTAACTATACAGAAGCACTGAAGGTGTTAGAACGGAGATACGGGAGCAAAGTGATGGTGCAAAGGGCACACGTAAATGATTTGATGAACTTAAAACCCGTGTACAACGAGAGTGACACGACGAGGCTGCGCAAGTTCTTCGACGCGGTCGAAACAAATTACCGAGGACTCGAGGCGCTCGGTGTAAAGGAGGAAACGTACTGCGAGATAGTCGTGCCCAATCTTCTAACAAAGATACCTGACTCATTAAAACTAACGATTACCAGGGAAGAGACTACTTAGAGTGGGGCATGAAAGATTTTGTCGACGCATTACAAGCCGAAGTGGAGCTGCGGGAATGCCACAAATTAGCGGTCGGAGAGAAAGAAGAAGATCAACGAAGAAGACGACGGGAACCGGGAACAGCTAGCGGGTTGTTTGCCAGCCGAAACAACCGATTGTTTTGTGCTTTCTGCTGTGGAGAGCACAAGCATGAAGAATGTACCAAGGTAACAGGGCGGCAAGAACGGATGCAACTTCTTCGTAAGTTCAAACGATGTTTCATTTGTTTAAATAAGGGACATGTAGCTAAAGATTGTCGTGCACGTATTAAATGTAGTGTATGTGGGGAGGGTCATCATGTTTCCATATGTGATAAGAGTAATAATAACCAGAAGGATGAAAGAAATAGTCGGGAAGAAAGTGGACAGGTTAGTGTAGCTAATGTCCATGTTAGTACTAGAAGTAGAGTGGCTCTTCAAACTGCGCAGGGAGTACTTATAGGAAAGGGTAAGACAAGAGTGCGAGTGCTTTTCGACTCGGGAAGTCAGAAATCCTTTGTGACGTGTGACGCGAAGAGGTGTGCCAAGCTTAACGTTGCCAGGCGAGAATGGTTGGAAGTTAATACATTCGGTGGTGGAAGTAACAAGGGTAGAATGACAGAGGTTGTTCAGTGCGAGGTATCGGCAGTTCAAGGAGGTCGTAAAATACGCGTAGAGGCTTTAGTAGTTCCTCATATTTGCGCGATCAAAAATGAGCATCTTGAGGTAGATAAGAGCAAGTATTCGCATTTGAAGGATTTGTGGTTGTCAGACGTTAATTTGAAGCAGGACACGTTAGATGTTGATGTTTTGATAGGTGCGGATAACCTTTGGGCATTTCAACAAGGGGAGATAATTAGGGGCAAGGATGACGAACCCGTTGCCATCAATACTTGTTTAGGTTGGGTAATAAGCGGTCCACTGAAAGGGAGCTCGAACTTGAAAAACGCACACGTTAATTTAGTTTCACAGATTGCAACACAAAACGCAGACAGCATTAATGGGGATGTGAGTAAATTGTGGGATTTAGAAACGCTTGGAGTAAGAGAGACTAATGACGTGCATGAAGCATTGCTTGACAAAATAGAGTTCAATGGGTCAAAATATGTAGTAAAATTGCCATGGAAACAGGGTCATGAGCACTTACCGTCAAATTATTCAAATAGTTTAGCACGCATGAAAGGGCAGATAAAGAGGTTGTCAAGTGAGCCATCATTGTTGAAAGAATATGATAAAATTATAAAGGAACAGCTAGAAACGGGTGTTATAGAAAGGGTAGATGAGTCTGAACATGGGATAAATGTTCATTACCTTCCCCATCAAGCCGTAATACGTAAAGAGGCCAAAACAACCAAATTGAGAATTGTTTATGACGCATCGTCAAAAGAGGGTAAGAGAGGGACTTCTTTGAATGACTGTCTTCATGTAGGACCACCACTAACGCCGTTGTTGTTTGACATATTAATTAGATTTAGGGAGAGCAGAGTGGCCTTGGTAGGAGACATTGAGAAAGCCTTTTTGAACGTAGAAGTAGACGAAGCAGACAGGAACTATTTGAGATTTTTGTGGGTCAGATATGCGACTAATGGTAATTTAGAGGTTGTAGCGTTTAGGTTTTATAGAGTAGTGTTTACACTAAATGCATCGCCCTTCTTGCTTAACGCCACGCTTAGACATCACATTGCGCAATTTGCAGAATCAGATCCAGTGCTTGCTCAGAAATTGAATGAGGGGTTTTACGTTAATGATCTAGTTTCGGGGGGTAAAAGCGCACAGGAAACAATCCAGTTGTACGAGAATGCGAAATTTAGGATGTCCCAAGGCGGGTTTAAGTTAAAAAAATGGCTTACGAATGATGGAAACGTGCAAGCGCCTATAGAGCAACGTGAATGCGGAAACAAAGTGACGACGACTACAGATTCAGACGACGAGACATTCACACAATGGAGTTTGGGGGCTCTAAATAACAATGACTGCGCAAAAGTTTTAGGTATAGGCTGGGATTGTGACAATGACCTGTTTACGTTTGATGTACGAAAGTTTGTGGAAGACTTAGGTGATAAGACGAAACTAACAAAAAGAAGCCTGCTTAGCGCATTAGCAAAGATATTTGATCCGTTGGGTTTAATTAGTGCCGTTATTATTTTGATGAAGATTTTGTTTCAACAATTGTGTGTTGATAAGGTTGATTGGGATGACAAAATAGAGGGTAAGCACGCAAAGATATACTTAGAGTGGATTGAGGATTTAGTTAGGGTTCAAAGAATTAAAATTAATAGATGCGTTTACAGTGAGGTAATCGAAAGAGTCGAGTCGTGCGAACTCCATGGATTTGGCGACGCAAGTGAGAAGGCTTATTGCGCAGTAGTGTATTTTGTTTGTCGCACAAGCTCTACCGTTCATGTAAAATTATTGGCAGCGAAAACTAGAGTTGCACCACTTAAGAAACTGACGATTCCACGTTTAGAGCTTATGTCTGCGCTTATGTTAGCTAAATTGGTAGAGTCAGTAGGGAAAGCTTTAGAAGGGCAGGTAGGAAAACTGAAGACAAGATATTGGTTAGATAGCATCACTGCTTTGTATTGGATTCAGAATAGAGGTGAATGGAAGCAGTTTGTGAGACATAGAGTGAATGAGATACTATCATTGACGAGTAAGGAAAGCTGGGGGCATTGTCCAGGGGTAGAAAATCCTGCAGACTTAGGTAGTCGCGGGGTGTTTGCGTCAAAGCTAGAAGAGGATTCAATTTGGTGGAATGGACCAAATTGGTTGAGCAGTCTAGAGCAGGAATGGCCTCAGTCTGTAGTGAGTAAGGCCGAGGAGAGTGTTCAAGAAGAAAGAAAGGTGGCTGTGTTAGTAGTAGACGCTAGTGAGAAATTTGGTATAGACCAGATTATCTGTATAGATAGATACAGTAGGGTGGAAAGGTTATTTCGTATAACAGCATGGGTTGCACGGTTTGTCAGGAATTTGATTGCTAGGACCAAAGGGAAGCATGAGGATTTGACTTTCACGGAGTTAGGGAGTCAGGAGTTACAGAAAGCAGAAAGACTTTGGATAAAGGCTTCACAGGACAGGTTAAAGAAGGAAGATAAGTTTAAGCAGTTAGAGGTACAGCTCAACGTAGTAGAAAAGGATGGGTTGTTAAAATGTCAGGGTAGGCTAGCAGAGTCAGATTTGGAAGAGGAAACAAAATTTCCTACTTTACTACCAAAGGAAGGTCGATTGACAGAATTAATAGTTGAGCACAGCCACAGGAAGGTACATCATAGTGGGGTAAGGGCTACTTTGGCTGAGATAAGGTCTAGATTTTGGATTCCCCAAGGAAGACAAAGGGTAAAATCGATTCTCAACAAATGTATCGTGTGCAAGAAATTAGAGGGTAAATCATACAATAGACCTAGCGAAGCAAACCTTCCAGCATTTAGAGTAGAGCAATCAGAACCATTTTCGAAAACAGGGGTAGATTTTGCAGGACCATTATATGTGAAGAATGCACCGGGGGGCACAGATAAGGTTTATATCGCATTATTTTCATGTTGTGTAACTAGGGCCTTACATTTAGACTTAGTAAAAGATTTGTCTGCGGATGAATTTGTGAGATGCCTAAGACGATTTGCAGCTAGAAGGGGGACCCCATCATTAATGGTGTCAGACAATGCAAAAACGTTCAAAGCAACAGTCAAGACTTTAGAAAACCTCTATAAAAATGAAAGAATGCAAGGGTATTTGGGAAACAATAGGATAGAGTGGAAATTCAATCTAGAAAGAGCTCCCTGGTGGGGTGGATTTTTTGAAAGGATGGTTAGGTCAGTGAAGAGGTGCTTGAAGAAGGTATTAGGAAATGCTAGGTTGACATTTGACGAACTACTGACAGTATTGGTAGAAGTTGAGGCAACATTAAATTCTAGGCCATTGACTTACACGTACGACGAGGTGGGTAGTGAACCACTAACTCCGTCGCATTTGGTGACGGGAAGAAGATTGTTGTCCATGCCAGACGAAGGGTCTAGTGAAGAGGAGTCTGACGTGGGTTACTGTAAAAAACGGTATCAGTATTTGAGTAAGAAAAAAATGCATTTCTGGAATAGGTAAAGAGTATTTGGTTGATTTAAGAGAGTTTCATAAGCAGGACAAAGACAATACTAATAGGGTAGTGCAAAGGGAGATGTCGTAACTGTTTATGAGGATAATGTGAAAGGGGAAATTGGAAAACAGGTGTAATAGAGAGTTGTTTGTAGGGAAAGATGGTGTGGTTAGAGGCGCTAAGGTTCGGTTATTTAGGAACGGTAAAGTCGTTCACCTTAATCGCCCGTCAAAAACTCTTTCCTACCGAGTTGAAGCACGACGAAGGCGAGAGAGAGAGAGAAAGGACTGAAAGGAAGGAAAGAAAATAGGTAGACCAAAAGAGCTGCTGCTCTTGATTCTGTCTGGAAGACACAGAATATGCTTGATTAGTGGGACTAATCAAGGTGGGGAGTGTGTTGTAAATTGTCATGTTATGTTATGTAGAGTGTGAATATACCGTATGATATAAACTGTAAAATGTTAAGTCATATATTACTAGACAAATACGTATATAGTTACTAAACTGTGGTTTCAGTGGAAATCCTGTACGTAAATTCAAAATACTTAGGAACACTTTTTCTACCCAATGTGGCATTGCGGTAGGATGTAGGTAATGACAGTACTCTATAAACGGAATGGCGTAGTGCAAGTCATGCAAACGCCCAAAATTATATCCTAATAATTATAATATAAATAAGAGCTTGCAAGCGTTGGTTCGGGAGTTCGGAAAACAGACGTTGTTAGACGTACAAAAGTGATAAGTTGGAAATCGTATCGCAGGAGGCGATAGCGTTTGAATAAGTTTCAAGTTTAAAGATTGACGGTTGGCCGTAATCTCAACGTTTCAATAACATATTTGTGTCGCAAAGAACCAACGTTTGGAACTCCGTATCATAAATCGTGCACAAACCACTGTAAATATCCTATCAAGTGTTAAATACAATTGTCAAAATACAGTCCCATCGTTCGAGTGAAGTTTCGAGAGCAGTGAACCAGCACTTCGCGCAGATTGTGCGAAAATAATTTAATAGTGACATAAAATACTTCAATATAAAACTGGTTGATTACAGAGTTTTGATGAGCCATCTTCAATGGTTCAGGGATGAATAAACATTGATTGTAAAGTATATAAGCAATTAAATGAGAGTACCTACTTATTGTCGATTTCAGGTAACTTTTCAAACGGTGGTTGCCAAGTTACTTTCTAATGTTGCCAACTACATTTCCAAATATGGAATATTCGATATGAACTTGTCAACTTGAGTTGACACGTTAAGCTGGATTTCCACTTCCCGGTAAGGACGGAAAACGGTAAACGCCAAACGGTAGAGGCATGCGCAGTAGAAAATGTAGCACCGCAAAACGGTATGCACACCGTACTACTTTCCATTTTTCTTTTTAGGGAGTTTTAGCAAGAGTACGACTACGAGAACGAGTACGAAATTTGACCGTGTAAGGGAATGGCATGAGGAAGGTTGTTGTCGTTATCGCTTCGTCAAAATTTTGCTTTAGTTGTAAACAACAGAACGAGCCTTTTTATTGTGTAAAACACCGACGTTTGCGAAGCAGCTACGGCTCTATTTGTCAATAATGATATCAAAGAATCGATAATACTGGTTTTGCGAGAATTTAGGACTCTTTAGACTGAAAAATCTTCACTATTTTAAGTTTTATGTACGATATATTTGTACTATTTTATTGTTTGTTTACCTTTCACTTTGCGTACGAAATACATGAAAGTTTTGCAGGTCATATTTTCCTTTTTAATGTACATCTGCGCTCAAAAAGGGTTCTAAATTAAAGCCTGGATGCTCGAAAATAGTACTGTAAACTAATTTCTCACAGAATGAAGAAATATACCTACTTTCTTTGCTTAAAAAGACATCGTAGTCGCGACTACGAATTTTTTACAAAACATCGTACTCAGATTGATGACGGCTACGTGTTTTTGTTGTCGCAACAATGTTTTCGTGCCAAAATGACGTAAATCGTACTCGTAGTCGTACTCGGAGGCTCTGCTAAAACTCCCTGTTGTGTACTTGAGTACTGAAATTGTGAACTTGAGTACTGAAGTTGTGAACTAAAGTTGCGAAGTACTAGCAAACGCGAAAGGTCTTTAAACCCTGTGGACATTTGGCAATGAATCTGTTCAGTAAGCAAGGAAAAGCTTTAGCAATTCTAATCCCTTTGAAGGCCCTCTAAGAGTGTTATAATGCGATTTACAGTAAATGTGGCACTAGAAGAGTATCGATGGATTTTAAATGCAGTAGTACCCTGCATACTGTGCCCTCGACGTCTGTTGCCACTCGTAACAACTACAGGCGACACATCAAAGAAATGCATACGGTTGCAATCAATCAATGAAATATTAGCTACGTAAGCTTCTAACTTCTCCATAACGTCCGGCCGTTCTGTTTCTCGAGGAATTTGACTTATTATCTTGTTAGAGTAACCAAGATCTTTTTTCGAAATTCTACTAATGGATGACCTGCTGGGTATGTTTGCTGGAAGGCAAACTTTGTTATTTTCTAGGTGTTGCTGAATCTCTTTTGCGTAAATAGATGGTTTATTAATTTCTAGATATTCAGCGTATGCAATAACGTCATCTGTACGCGTGGTTCGAACATCACGTTCGCCCTGGCGAGGTGCAAATGAATTTTCTGAAAAACAATCTTTGTCTTCTTTAGGTGTCTTTATCAGATTCAAATATACATGTATAATATGGGGGGTGTTCATGAGCAAGAATGTGCATTGTAAAACAGAGAACGAGACTACTAACAATAAACCAGGTACAAAAACAAGTAATGATTTGAATCATGATGAAAATAAGTTAACATTAATATTCATTTTCTACAGTGTCAGTCCTCAAGGAAGAAGTTGTCTCAATTTATAATGAAAACTTCACTGACATTCCCAAGGACAGGGAGCCATATTATGTTAAAGTTCAACGATGTGTCATCGAAAAAGATAAAATTCCTATATGTTCATTATGTTGGCCCCAACCTATGACATTGACAGAAATCGAGATTGTCGTTCCTGATTTAAAAAACTACACAAAGTTTTACAAAGATGTTGTATATAATCACACTTCTTGTTACCTGGAAAAGAACTTAATAGCCCTGAAGTTTAATCTACACAAGAATCTATCTTCAAACGAAAGTAAGGACTTCTGTATTTAATTGAAATTTAAACTGAGATCTAAATTTGAAACACCTTTCCCTTTGTGTTTACAGTTTACGACACAGAATTTACAACAAAAGTAAAATACAATCCACCAAACGTGAGAGCATGTAATGACTATTGCAAGCATCCACAACCTCGTTTTCATCTGCACAGTGAATATACAAAGATTGCTTTAGATTATCTCTTTATACCATTCACTCAATGCTTGCCTGGTTGCAAAGCAACAGAGAAAATGAAAATTGTCAAAACAGAAATCCTAGAGGGTTCAACCCCCGTTGAAAGTCATTAAAGAACATAAAGCTTGCAATCTCTGGAACAAAAAAGTCCAGGAGAGTACACCTTATCGTAGCAGACGCAGTAATACAGGTAAAAAATTTTCAATTATGATTGAAAAATTTAACCAAAAAAGCATTATGTGTGTGTATTTAGATGTGCACAACTTTTGAGAAAAATTGCAAAATAATCATGTTTTACGATTTGTTTCATGATCTTATTTCCATAAAATTTCTCTACAGAAAGTCGACCCCTCGTGCTAAATAAAGGATTATTTGCTTACATCACATCACCTAAAATGATGCTAGTTGCCTTCATTCTTTTGACTGTCCTCATCTCAATACTCATTCTGGACTGTAATCTGTGTCATCGTAAGATAGGAATAATGTATTCTATAAAAAGTTGTGGAAAGAATGAAGAGTGTGAAGACTGCGTAAGAAGACAGCAGACTATGATAGAAATAGTTTAAGTATCAGTAGTTTTTGTGTCACATTTCTGCTAAAAACGAAGACATGAATGAATAAAGCATTTGAAACCAGGTCCCATCGGAAGCTGTGGGGATTGGGAAGGCTGCAACCCCCTTTCAGTAATTTCCAAAATTATTGTGAAAATTTAACAAGCCCAGCTTTTACCCGAATCTTCTAGGAGAAAGTCACATACCGTAAAGTCTCGAAATAATAAGCTGCCCGGGCTTATTTTAATTTTAAAAAGGTGGCTAATTTAATGATGCGGTTACTTTCAGTGTAAGGATATTTCGAGACTCTAAGATATTTGAATTTTCAGACCCCCTCCCCCCATTCTTAGTTAGAGCTTCCAACGGCGGTGAAAACAACAAATGACTGAACATTGTGTTGTGCGACAAGATGAATGACGTACAAATCATGACACTCCACGCAACGCTATTAAAGTGTATGAAATGTTTTCAGCAGAAACTGTGAGCGTAATATTCTAATAATTAGATAATATTCTAAAAATTGGATAATATTCTAAAAGCTGTATAACATTTGCACTAATTTCCGCCAAGTCAACATTATACTAGATATTTTTAATTACATTAAATTTTGTTTTAGTGATATTAAACTGGAATTCATGATTATAGTAAATGTGATGAAAGTTGACGTGTTTTGAGAGCAGTAAAATGGGCAAGTTTTGTTGTTGCATATTCTAGCAAATTTTTGCTCATTTTATGGGCATCCACTGAAGAAGGTTTTTAAAAGCCTTTTTTCCTCGTAAACCAGAATATTAAGAGCAAAAGAAATGATCAAAGCTGACTTTGCAATATTTTGAGAGCAATGAGCTGCCTGAATTACTTATTACTTATTTCCAAAAACAGACGAGTTGTTTTTTCTTATAGTAACTAATTTGCAGTTCTATATAGCTATCAAATAATTTTATGTTCTCGAACAAGTCATGGAGTTCATTTTTTGAATAAAGAATGCAATATTGTCAAAAAATAATACATATCCAATCGTTTTTAGCTGTAGTAATGACAACAATGATATAAATGTACCTTTAAAATTTTGTAACACGCAAATAGTTAAATGGATATATAGCCACCGTAGCACACCATAACCCATGACAAACAAAAATTATCAAAATCTACAACAAGCGCTGTAGCGCTTGTTCTAGATTTTGATAATTTAGCGCTAATCTAGCGATTTTGATGATTTAGAACAAGCGCTACAATGCGTGTTTGCTTCGCCTATTTTAAAAATATAGCCACGTAAAGAATTTGACACATCTTTGTTGCCCAGCTATAAAAAAACAAACGAAAAGAAAAATTTACCGCGGAATTTGCCAGCAGCAAATCAACAATTACATCTCAATTAAATAGCTATGTAACTTGGCATTTCGACAAATCATTCTACCTGTAAATTCTTCCCATTTCATATTACTCACAAAACATGATAAATTGATAATTCAGTAATATCTACGTCAAAATATAATGTGCCGACGTAGGATCGTTTAATTGAGAGATATGATTAACAATGTACATATTTACTTTTTAAGCAAGTTGGGAGAAGGATAGGCCAGCATGAACATAGTGCAGGATATGAGAGAATAATTATGCTATGGGCCCACGCTTTCAGATTCTTCTTTATGATTTGAATTTTACAGTAACTTAATTAAGTGAAGCAAAAAATGGTTAAAGAGTAAGAAATCTTAAGATTTTAAGTGCCAGTTTATAATTTAATAGTGACATAAAATACTTCAATATAAAACTGGTTGATTACAGAGTTTTGATGAGCCATCTTCAATGGTTCAGGGATGAATAAACATTGATTGTATAGTAAATAATCAATTAAATGAGAGTACCTACTTATTGTACTGAAGTTGTGAACTAAAGTTGCGAAGTACTAGCAAACGCGAAAGGTGTTTAAGCCCTGTGGACATTTGGCAATGAATCTGTTCAGTAAGCAAGGAAAAGCTTTTGCAATTCTAATCCGTTTGAAGGCCCTCTAAGAGTGTTATAATGCGATATACAGTAAATGTGGCACTAGAAAAGTATCGTAAATTTGGCGCTCTATGAGTAATATAATGCGATTTACAGTAAATGAAGCACTAGAAGAGTATCGTTGGGTTTTAAATGCAGTAGTACCCTGCATACTGTGCCCTTGACGTCTGTTGCCACTCGTAACTACTACAGGCGACTCATCAAAGAAATGCATACGGTTGCAATCAATCAATGAAATATTTGCTACGTAGGCTTCTAACTTCTCCATAACGTCCGGCCGTTCTGTTTCTCGAGGAATTTGACTTATTATCTTGTTACAGTAACCAAGATCTTTTTTCGAAATTCTACTAATGGAAGACCTGCTAGGTATGTTTGCTGGAAGGCAAACTTTGTTATTTTCTAGGTGTTGCTGACTCTCTTTTGCGTAAATAGATGGTTTTTTAACTTTTAGATATTCAGCGTATGCAATAACGTCATCTGTACGCGTGGTTCGAACATCACGTTCGCCCTGGCGAGGTGCAATAGAACCAGTGTCTACCCATAGATCTATTATATTTGATATAGTCTTATACGGTAGACTTAGTTGTTTCAAAATGTTTGTCAAACGCTGGTTATTTAACCACCTTTCAAGTATTTCATTTCTTACTTCTATCGCTAAAGCTTTTCCTTGCTTACTGAACGGATTTATTGCCTAATGGCTACAGGGTTTAAAGACCTTTCGCGTTTGCCAGTACTTTGCAACTTTAGTTCACAATTTCAGTACTCAAGTACACAACTTGTCAACTCAAGTTGACAAGTTCATATCGAATATTCCATATTTGGAAATGTAACCATTGATTGTATAGTAAATAAGCAATTAAATGAGAGTACCTACATAATGATTACATATGAATGACATTCCGTTCAAATATATTCATAGTACTTATCAAAATATAGGATGTCTTTGAAGACTATTTTCCATCTCAATTGTGGTTAAAATCTTAAATTTTTGAGGTTTATAAAACCATGCTATTGAAATTAGAGAGTATAAAAGTCTTTCCAGAACTCATTATTTATAAAAGCGAAGCTAAGTTGTGAATTATAAGAGAGACATTGTACAAGATATCTTTGAGAAATCAGCTTGTAAAACAAAAGAAATGGATGAGCAATGCATGTTTATTAATGATGGAGAAAATGCATCAATTTAGTCTTCAAAAACTTACTTAATCATTATCTTATAAGAAAGTTAAAGATACTTTCATTTGTGATGACAAATTTGTTTGATGACATAATTCTACGATTAATGAATTTATTTTGTTAATAATATCATTGAGTGATTTACTGAAACACAATACACCATAACCCAACATCCCTTGTATTTTTTCACGATAAAATAAATGCTTCATAAAATGAGCAGTTCACGTGTGTAATAATGAGCATTAGACGATGAATTTTCTGAAAAACAATCTTTGTCTTCTTTAGGTGTCTTTATCAGATTCAAATATACATGTATAATATGTGTGGTGTTCATGAGCAAGAATGTGCATAGTAAAACTGAGAACGAGACTACTAACAATAAACCAGGTACAAAAACAAATAATGATTTGAATCATGATGAAAATAAGTTAACGTTAATATTCATTTTCTATAGTTCCAGTCCTCAAGGAAGAAGTTGTCTCAATTTATAATGAAAACTTCACTGACATTCCCAAGGACAGGGAGCCATATTATGTTAAAGTTCAACGATGTGTCATCGATAAAGATAAAATTCCTATATGTTTATTATGTTGGCCACAACCTATGACATTGACAGAAGTCGAGATTGTCGTTCCTGATTTAAAAAACTACACAAAGTTTTACAAATATGTTGTATATAATCACACTTCTTGTTACCTGGAAAAGAACTTAAAAGCCTTGAAGTTTAATCTACACAAGAATCTATCTTCAAACGAAAGTAAGGACTTCTGTATTTAATTGAAATTTAAACTGAGATCTAAATTTGAAACGCTTTTCCTTTTGTTTTTCTTAGTTAACGAGATAGAATTTACAACAAAAGTAAAATACAATCCACCAAACGTGAGAACATGTAATGACTATTGCAAGCATCCACAACCTCGTTTTCATGTGCACAGTGAATATAAAAAGGTTCTTTTACATTATCTCTTTATCTCATTTACTCAATGCTTGCCTGGCTGCAAAGCAACAGAGAAAAGGAAGAATGTCAAAACAGAAATCCTAGATGGTTCAACCCCGTTTGAAGTCATTAAAGAACATAAATCTTGCAATCTCTGGAACAAAAAAGTCCAGGAGAGTACACCTTATCGTAGCAGACGCAGTAATACAGGTAAAAAATTTTCAATTATGATTGAAAAATTTAACCAAAAAGCGTTATGTGTGTGTAATTAGATGTGCACAACTTTTGAGAAAAATTGCAAAATAGTCATGTTTTACGATTTGCTTCATGAACTTACTTCCATAAAATTTCTCTACAGAAAGTCGACCTCTCATGCTAAATAAAGGATCATTTGTTTACATCAAATCACCTAAAATGATGCTAGTTGCCTTCATTCTTTTGACTGTCCTCATCTCAGTACTCATTCTGGACTGTAATCTGTGTCATCGTAAGAAAGGAATAATGTATTCTATAAAAAGTTGTGGAAAGAATGAAGAGTGTGAAGACTGCGTAAGAAGACAGCAGACTATGATAGAAATGGTTTAAGTATCAGTAGTTTTTGTTTCTCATTTCTGCTAAAAAGGAAGACATGAATGAATAAAGCATCTGAAACCAGGTCCCATCGGAAGCTGTAGGGATTGGGCAGGCTGCAATCCCCAACCCCCTTTCAGTAATTTCCAAAATTGTTGTGAAAATTTAACAAGCCCAGCTTTTCCCCGAATCTTCTAGGAGAAAGTCACATACCGTAGAGTCTCGAAATAATAAGCTGCCGGGGCTATTTCAATTTGAAAAAGGTGGCTAATTTAATGATGCGGCTACTTTCAGTGTAAGGATATTTCGAGACTCTAAGATATTTGAATTTTCAGAATTCACCCCCCCCATTCTTAGTTAGAGCTTCCGACGGCGGTGAAAACAAGAAATGGCTGAACATTGTGTTGTGCGACAAGATGAATGACGTACAAATCATGACACTCCACGCAACGCTATTAAAGTGTATGAATTGTTTTCAGCAGAAACTGTGAGCGTAATATTCTAATAATTGGATAATATTCTAAAAGCTGTATAACATTTGCACTAATTTCTGCCAAGTCAACATTTATACTAGATATTTTTAATTAAATTAAATTTTCTTTTAGTGATATTAAACTGGAATTCATGATTATAGTGAATGTGATGAAAGTTGACGTGTTTTGAGAGCAGTAAAATGGGCAAGTGTTGTTGCTGCATATTCTAGCAACTTTTTGCTCATCTTGTGGGCATCCACTGGAGAAGGATTTTAAAAGCCTTTTTTCCTCGTAAACCAGAATATTAAGAGCAAAAGATATGATGAAGTCAGTTGGCAGATCATCATTTCAAGAGCTTTCCTTTTCAGTGATAAGTTTATGAATTAGGCTGGTTATTATAACAAAGAACGTCCAATTACATTAGAAAAGTAAATTTAGTAAAGTCAAAAGAACCAGTTGAAACTTTGGTTACCTTTCATGCACAAGAATGTGTTTATATAACCGCGTTTTCTTTTCTTTGATTGTGGACTAACTCAAGCATGAATAGACTACTTTAAGTACAAAGAGTAAATAGATAAAATCTTGGATATTAACTGAACCAATTGCAATAATGACCAAATCAATTCTAGTGTTTTAGGGAACAAACAACATTTTATTTGCAAAGGTAGTGGGAAGAAAATTGTTATTTTTGTAGGATAAAACGTTTGTTACTTGCACCGCAATTAACGTAGCCGATATTCCGTATTATGTCCAGCGTATCAGTGGCGTGCGTCACGAAGCCAGAGTAGACCCCTGGGACCAATGGGAAAATACTGGCCCTTCTTAAAAAATGTTAGCTTTTGC